GAATTTAAACAGCCTTTGTCGCGTCGCTGTGACGTAATCGGCCTACAAATGCGGCCTCAGGAGGATGCAGCCTATTAATTTGGACACCCTCTATATGTATAGCTTTTTTCCTCTCTGCCGTAAAAGGCTGATGGAGTTTTGTCATCAACACACCTGGGGGGCAGGTGGTGTGGACATCTAAGTCTGTTTATGCGATAACTCAAGAATCACATGACGTAGGAGCTTCAAATTGATATCATACGTGCACGTACAAAACATCTTATATAAAGTTGAATTTCGGGGACCTTGACCTTGGAGTCAAGTTTTCTGAAAATCTTGTGAATGCGGTAATTCAAGAAGGAAACCTGGGATTTTCTGATTGATACCATCTACAAAAAATCTCGGATGAGTTGGAATCTCAGTGGCCTCGGCGTAAAGGTCCATGACGAAATATTTTCAGTTAAAAAGCTGCTTTTCATCTTAATAAGTGTCAAACTTGATCATAAGAGAGCAGTCGAGGCCATGCCGGCAACCAGCTAGGAACCATGAAATGGCTTGTATTCATTTTATGTGATACTGCAATTTGTGCTTCATTTTGCTATCTGCCCTGAATAAAAAATAAATAAATAAATAAAAACCTGCCTGCTGCAGCATACTATTCTTCTTAGGTGTTTTTACAAATGCACTGAAAGTTCTGGGTGCTGACTTTTTCTAACTATTACATGATGGAGAATCTGTAAAAGCTCAAATATTTGTTGGATTAGATGATCTTTAACCTGTCAGCTCCTCAGTACAAAGTCTGTATGATAATTGATTGTGCTAATTTGAGAGTAATGCAGCTAATAGTCCAGACGTTTCACGGCTTCTGAATGGTTGTAATGTCTCCTGCATGATCTGTCTAGTCAGCCCCTTTGTCTAAACCAAAAGGTATCATTTTTGGGAGTGACAGAACAGATTATGTCATAATCTGTGATCCATATGAGAAAGAACAGCTTAGATAATTTCCTGATTTGGTTCTCCTGACATTGTTTAAGTACTTGTGAGAAAACTAATAAAGTCACAGAAATCAGGGCTGAAGAATTTTAAGAGTTAACGTTTGGGGATTAAACAATAGACTGTAAATAAAAGATGAACGTAGCCTCCTTGTTTGAAAAGTGAAGCCAATATGGAAAGTGCCTTAAGCAAGTTTTCTTCCAATAAATAGTAGAGGCTGACTCATCAGGTTGCAAGTCTACAGGAAGAAAAACTTTTCTGCTCATTGAGTCTCAGTAAATCTCAAATTTGCCACTAGCATTTAAAACAATAAAGCAGAATGTGCTTTATGTTGGCCTAGGCTATGATTGATGAGCAGTATTTGGGTCATTACTCCAAAGTAATACTTTGCACATTTCTCATTACTTTCCTCATTAGTAATGTAGTACATTACATAATTACTCATTCGGGAAATTAACTGGTTACACTACTTGCTAAATTAATTTTGTTTTCCTTTAATAATCAGCTAACTATATAAACCCAAAGCTATAATGCACAAACTGACACAAATCCCTGTCTCACTGAGGACAAACATATCAGATCTGCCTTTTAGTGTCACCTACAAACACAGAACCTACAATGTGCTTTCTTTGCTAGCTTTTGCATTAGCATGCTATCTGTGCAGATGCCTGCAAAGAGCCAATGCTGTGTGAGCAGTACAATGTGGCTGTTTCTATTCTAGATGTAGTTTGCACTTTGCCATTGCGCTTTTGTTCTTTCGTGCAATAAAAATAAAAGGAATATCCAAAGTTCCACTCTTTAAATGATGTAGACCATTCTGAGATTATCCTTCCAAATCAGCTGATTGTTGTGTAAATATACATTTAAAAAGCCATGTTTGATTTGTTTTTGCTTTTTTAATTCTACAGAAAACGTGACACTTTGGAATGTAAGTAATGACAAAATTGTAACTGTAATGTAAGTACTGAATTTAGTACAAGAATATGTTACATTACTGTGATATTGAAAAATGCTATACTAATATATAATAATATTATATAACGTGTTACTTTGGAACATGGTACACCCAACACCACCGATGAGTCCCTATGAGAGTGGAGTGTTCCTCGGTTTCTCAGCATCATGCACCCCTCTCTCAACACATAGGGCTCCAAAACACCAACATGGTAATGGTAAAAATGGGCAGCTTAAAGCTTCACAACAGGACTTTATTAACCAAAGGGTCATATCACGTTGGCTGCAGACATCTTTTATATACAGTCTATGAGCTTAACATAATTGGATATAAAAAAAAAACGGGTTCATAACTTGTTCAATTAAGTGCTTAATTAAACTTACACAAATTTAGTATCCATTGTATGTAAGGGTTATGAGGGAGCTTGACTGAAATTGCATCATCGTCACTTGTGCAGCATTGCAGCTGCTAATGTGTTAAGTCAGTACGATAAAGCAATGCAACGATCCGTTCAAAATTGTAACTCGGTATGATGTCTGGAGTAAAAGGCAGTTGTATCAAACATATCAAAGGTGTATATTCCATAGATACGCAGACTGCATCCATCATCTTTTATCCAACTAAAACTTGAGTTACTGTAAAGAGAGCCAATAATTACCAGGGACCAATCAAATTAATAATACTGATACAGATCAAACATTTTCTCACATCAAATATCCTCCAAATGCCACATATTACAGATCCAGCCTAATTTATCCCTGTAAATGAATCCAGCAGTATAATTAGACAGCATAAACATCAAGAAAGTTGAAGGTTTCTAATGTTTTTTTTTCATTTAATATTTTCAATCCTTACCACCAACAAGGCTACATAAATTAAAGTCATTTTTTTAATCTAGCCTTATCATTATATTTCTCTTCTTTTTTTCTGTTTAGATAAAACATACATATGGTAACCAGCAGATGCCTGTACATAAAGCTATACACAGCCACCAAAATCAGATGAAAAAAAAACAACATAAAAAAACACAATATGTGACAAAAGTGTTTCTGAAAGGTGTTTTTCTCTGAAAGAAAACATTAGCGTTGATGTGAGTTTTTACCTGGAAGAGAGGGTGAGATTGCAACATCAAACAGAGAAAGAGGTAAGGGCGTGTAAAGTGTGCTCGCATTTTCACTGTTTACGGAAACCTTTGCAGCTCCCTCTGTGAAAACGTTTGTGTGTCAAAATAATATTTTGTCTTTTAAAATCTGGTTGTGCCTTTTTTGTGGTAATTTAACCTCCTACCTCTTACGCTGAAAATGGACAAAGACCCGAAAAACATATGCAATGCAGCCAATTTGCTCTGCTGTGAAGCCCAATAATCCTGCAGCTTTTTCTTCTTTGTCATGTAAAATGTCTGCTTTTGAAAACACACCAAAGCTGCAGTTTGTCAGGCTGACAATATATTAGTTTCAGTCTGATCCAGCCTCTCTTCAGTAAGATGGAGATCTGATAGTTGCTTCTGTTAGTGATGAAACTGGAAGTACAGCAAACTCAGCTGGAGCATCACAAACAATAACGAATGGTGGAGTGGTTTTATATCTAATATTTCCAAAATGCTACACTCAGCATCATTTATTCTTATACAGCTGTAGAGTTTTGAAAAAGCTTCAGATCTCTTAAGGTCTTCTCCTTTTCTGCTGAGGCCATGTCCTCAGCTTCCCTCTGTGAAACCTCCACTGCTTTCAAGGAGTGATATCCGACTGAGCTTTTTAATTTTTTTCCATCAAACGTCTCTGCAGTGCAATGTTGAATCTTCAGTGTTTAAAAAGTCTCCTGTGAGGACACCGGAATCAGCTCGTCTCAGCTCAGACGGCTCAGTATCTGCAGCCTGCATGTCCACCAAATGACTTCGGGCCATCAAAACACCCACATTTGAAATTGAGGACCCTAAATTTTAACCCGAAAACAGAGTTGGTTTTACACAACTAACTGACTGACGGTAGTCCGAGATCAGTTCTTGGGAGTGCTCTGGGACTAGACTCGAGGAAGGGAGAAACAGAGGGAGAAAGCGGGAGAGGGACACACGCTGGGGTTGTATTTCTCCTCAATCAGACAGACAGGAAGTGGTTTAGCAGGAGGACGGAAACCCCCTTCTGGGCTGCTGGGTCACAGGTGGCTCTGCTCAGGGACTGGCTGGGGGCCTGGGTGAAGGGCAGGAGCCCTGGCTGTCAAAGCTGGCTGTCCTCGCCTTCCACTACAGGGCACACAGACACAAGGCAGGGATTTATGGCACATATGTCGCTTTGCTCACTTTCAATATCGGCCAAACAAAGGTGTCAAATCAGTGTGTCAGAACGTTCAGTAAGTGACAAAAAAGTAGCATGAAACCTCAACACTAAACATACAAAATCTCATCATTGTTTCTTCTTCTGTGCCTTAAAATGTTGAATTTAAAACAAAGAAAGCTCCCTAATCACCTGCACCTTATTCCGCAGAACTTTCTTTTATTTTCATTTTCTTGGAGCTATTTTCCTGAACACTTTCTTTAATGATGCAAAATGTAATAGAGTCACATCCAGCTGTAAAAAGCCTTGTGATTTGGCTGCAATTATAATAGAAATAAAGAAAGCCACAGTTATTATCTTTAGTGCTGGCTTGTGTATAATGAAATTTGCCTTTAAATATCCATCAAGTTTTGGAACGGCAATTTCTATAACACAGAATTAAGAACTGAATTTGCTGCCATGGGTTCAGCAATGCTCTCACTACTTCCTAAACTTACCATGGTTTTTAAATTTGCTTCATGTGTATTCTGATTGATAATTGCTTTGTAGCTGCATTTGCATTGAAAGTGGACGTGGTATGTGTTTCCTTGGTTCTTTTTCTTATATGCTCATCAGCCAATTGATTAGGTACACCTTTCTAGTACTGGGTTGGATATCCTTTTGCCTTCCATCACCTACAAATAGGTAATGGAAACCTTCAGAGATTTTGATCCATGTTAAAATGATAGCATGACACAGTTGCTTAACCTCTTAAGCCCCAAGCCTAACTGATCTCCTGCCTTTTGCCCCCGTATCAGGGTGCGTTGGGGCTTAAGAGGTTAATACACTTTGTTGGTGTCACATTCTTCATGGGAATCTCCCGTGACTGTGGAGGCCATTTGACTCATCATTACGCTCAAGAAACCAAATTGAGATGATTTAAGCATGGCGTGTTATCCTACGTAAGTAACCATCAGAAGATGGGTAAACTGTGGTCATAGGGGCATAGACATGGTCAGCAGCAATACTTAAGTTGGCTGTCAGGTTTAAAAAAATTATAATCTGTTAGTTGGAGCCCCAAAATGTGCCATGAAAATCTCCCCACTCTATTACACCACCAGCAGTAGCCTGAACTGTTGATACAATGCAGGTTGCTGTTTACATCAAATTCTGATCCTACCATCTGAATTTTGCAACAGAAATCGAGACTCACCAGAGCAAGCAACATTTTCCCGAATCTTCTTATCCAATTTTGGTGAGCCTGCATAAACTGCAGCCTCACTTTCCTATTCTTAGCTGCCAGGAGTGGATGAAATGCAGAGTTTGTTCTAGATTAAGAACCAGCACAAGCCTGGTGGGAAAGCTTTAGTAGAGATGTTATTTGAGTTACTGTTGCCTTCCTCTCAGCTTAAAGCAGTTTGGCCGGGCAGCTCTGACCTCTGGCATAAACAAAGCATTTCTGCCCAGAGAATTACCGCTCACTGGATGTTTTCTCTTTTTCTGAGCATTCTCTATAAACTCTACAGATGGTTGTGAGGAAAAAATGCCAGTAGATCAGCAGTTTGTGAAATGCTCAGACCAACCAGTCTGGCACCATCATACCATTGTCAATGTCACTTAAATCACCTTTTATCCCCATTTTGATGCTCACTTTTAGCTTCAGCAGGTCCTCTTGACCATGTCTATATGTCTAAATAAATTGTTCTGATGTGATTGAGTGATTAGGTATTTGTGCTAATGAGCTGTTGAGCAGGTGTACCCAATGAAGTGGCTGGTAAGTGTATATACAAAGGGGAAAGGCAAAGGGTAACTTTTGAATAAAGCCTTTATGTAAGTAAGCTGTTCTAAAAGCTCAGTTTCATTTTTTTCTACTCTTGGCTCCGTATGATGTCAGGAGGAAGGGATTTCTGCAATGTATTAATCTGAGCCAGTTTGAGCATAGGAGACCAACCCAAGTACAGTTTCAAAATTCTATTATTGAGGATCAGCCAATCGGAAGAAGCTTGGCTTAAAGAGAAGCTCATTAGAGACAGTGGAACAACTGACAGGCTTCACCAAAGTCCGGTAGGGATTACTTTCAGTCTGAGGATGAAAATATGGAGCTACAGTTTTAGGATAATAGGCCCCTTTTAAAAAAAAAAAAAAAAAAAAAGGAAACTTTAAAAGTAACAATAATTAGAATATTTTACAGAAACCAAGAAAATATTTTCTATGTCATTATAATCTTTGGTACACATGTAGCATAATTCCAAGTTTTGACTCCCTACTTGTGAGGTACACATAAAAAGTAAAACTGTGCTACTTTTTAGTCGCTTCTTAACTTCTGTTTGTCAACGTCTTTCTTGCTGATTGTGCTAAGCCAATTTATCTTTTTTATTATTATTTGTTGTTTATGCGATGCTAATGCATGTGCCGACAGCTATCATTGCACTAATCGATTGGTCAAGAAGAGTTCCAGGTCCAGGAAGTCCAGGTTTTACAACAATCATGTTTTTTGATGGTTTATGGATTTTTTTGCTTTGGTTTTTAGAGATATCAATATTATCATACAGAGTATACTTAATTACCTCAATAAACAGTTTTCCAGTGGCTGCTCCAAAGTGTATTGATGAATGAGCCAAATTAGACAAACAACTAACTTTAAAGTTAATTTGCAAAGTGCTCCGTGGACCTGTGACTCAAACCTCAAGCAGCATCTTTCTTCAAGTCTCTCCTTCAGAGTCCTTCAGAGTTTGAATCCTCTTCCCTATAGCAATGTTCCTTAAGTAAGCTGAGAATTACCAGCTAAGCACCCTGATACCTCATCCAAAATCATAAACACGTACAGAATAATCCATCCTCAAACTTACCTCCTTCTCAGATTTCTTGGCCTCCAGCAGGGGGTGCCAGTGTGCAATGGGCTTCCGCGGATAGGCCAGCATTTCGTTCCAGTGGTCCCTGCCAAGTCCCTCAGCATTGCATCCGACCCTCATCACACCAATGATCTCATTATGACCTACCCTGTAGGGACACACGCATACTGGTATGAATACGTCTGATTTAACTTGAGGTGACATCTCATACATCACATTGTTTATAACTGTAAGACGCCCATTCTGTAATCAGAGGAGACACAAATCTGAGTGTGGTTGTCCCGCCGATTGACGCGGTGGATCTGCAGCTGATCCGCTCTGTGGCAGAAGAACTGACTCGCTTCAGAGCTGATCTCTGCTCTCTTAACAATGTGAAGTGTAAATGGAGGAAACACATAATCCCCGAGATTATTAACAGCACTGGATTTTCTCCTTGCATAATAGCAGACTGTAAAGAAAGCACTTGGGGCCGCACCTCTAATCCTGGTACTGCTCTGTTAATAAGAAAGATAAAATATGATCTATATACATATATATATTTGGAAAAAATGTCTCCTACTTCAAATGAAATGATTATGTGATTATTGGATCCTGATAACTTTTTAAATTATTCCAGTCAAAAAGAAAGTTTGTGTTTTAAATAGACTTTATACACCAGGACTATACGTGTATACAACACTAAAAGCATCTTCAGCTCTACTGGACCAGTAGGTGTAGGATTATAAATCAGTTTAAAAGAGAAACACGTCAGGTGGAGACTAATTTGGAGGCAAAGTCTGGGCAAAGTTGTCCTGTATAGAGGATATACTGGACGAAGGATGTTGAAGGAGGAGCTGCCGGGCAGAAGACTCATGAATGTAGTGAGGCAGGATATGCAGAACGTCCATGTGACAGAAGAGATGGAGACAGATGGTCTGCTGTGGCGACTCTTAAAAGGAGAGCAGAACAAAGAAGAAGATACGAGACATCTCATATGAGGCCTCCTTCCTCCTGTCTGTACATAGATGTGAGTATTAAGATCTGTTGGTGAGGAAATGCTCTCCATTTCTAGATGATTGAAGCCTGCAGCTGTGCAGTGGTCATTGGTTGTGGCAGCTTCTGATGACCTCATTAACCCAGCTTATGTCAGGCATATTCAGTAGCAGACATTATGGGAATGATGTTGGCAAAAGAGGTGTCTGGATGTGTTATGAATCCATAAAGACCAACATTACTATGTCAGTCATACCTGTTTTTGTAGTTAGTTTTGTCTCCTCAGTCAGTCACGTCTCCGTGTTTGTTTGTCTTTCTGTCTTCTGTAGGTTTGTGCCTGTGTTTCTGTGTTATTTATTTCCTGCTCCTGTTCTGTATTTCGTCCTACTTGCCTTATCTTGTTATCCCAGATTTGTTCCCACTGTGTCTCCCACCTGTTTCCTCTCCCCTCATTACCTGGTGTGTATTTGTTGTCTGAGTCTCCAGTCGTTCTTTGTCGTATTCTCCCTGAGGTTGTGTGCCCTGTGTGGTCTGTATTGTTTCCATAATTCCAGTTCCTGCCTAGTCTAAATTTTTCTTATTTTGTATTTTGCACGAGTTACAGCAATAAAGCTGTTTTTTGAGTCAAGGTTTGTTATCTGCCTCCTGCATTTGGATCCACAGTCTGCCTGTCACACAGCAACATATGACACAGACATGTATGCCAGGATCAACCATGACTGTAGTCAGCTTTAGTGATGTGTCGGTCGCGAACGAAATGGCTCT